GGGACCCGAGCGTGGCGCCGGCCGGGCGCGCGACCCCCCGCGCGCGCGGAGCGGCCCCCGCCGCCGCCATCATGAACGCGGAGAACTTGGCGTGCAGCGAGCGGCTCGTGACGGCCGGCTACGTGCGCCAGGGGGCGCAGGGCCGCCGCGCGCACGAGCTGCGCCTGCGCGCGCTGCTGGAGCAGGTAACGGCCCCTAACGGCCGCTAACGGCCGTTAACGGCCCCTAACGGCCCGGCTGGGGGAGCAGGCGGCGCCCGAGCCGCCTCAACGCCCGCCGTGAGGAGGAGGGGAGGCCTGGGGCCGCCTGGAGCAGCAGGGCCGCAGCTCCCCGCGGGGAGCTCCCCGCGCGGCCGCTTTCGAATAACCCGCACCCTGCTCGGGAGCGCCTGGCGGCTCCGCGCTGTGTGTGTGAGGCTGCCCTGGGGTGCTCCGGAGTAGAAAACAGCCCCGTGTTTAATATCGGGATGTGCTCATGCAATGTGTTCAGCGCAGAATGTGTGAGTTCGTTGCTTGGCTTCTCTCTGAATACGGCCTCGCAAGATTAGGTAATAAAGCTAAAATACTGCAGCGATAGTATTGTTACGTATGCAAATAGCATTAAGGTGTAGAAAATAGCATTAAAGTACAGCATCAATGACACTCGTTACAGAAAAGAGTTATATTAACAAAGCAGTTTACACAAAGATGCATTCGTTTTTAGTTACCCAAGTCCAGGAGTTCACTTCATGTTACTGTTTTTGCTAAGGGGAAGTGCCCTGAGGATGGATGGGATGAGAGCACCATTGAGCTGTTCCTTCAGGAGCTCGCCATTATGGACAGCAACAACTTCCTGGGCAACTGCGGCGTGGGGGAGAGGGAAGGCCGGGTGGCCTCGGGCATCGTGGCCCGGAGGCATTACAGGTACCGCGCATCCGCAGCTCGGGTTTCGGTATTGTGGTATTTCGTTATTAACATTTTCAAAGCGCTTTTTTATTATGTCTTACAAGCCAAAACTTTGGCGGTATTTTAGAAACTCTGTAATGTAATGTTGAATTGATACAGCTCTGTGTACTGAATTTTCATTAATAACTCATTGGAAATTCTTGAAGTCTTCTAATACCTGATGAGTGCTTTGCATCCTAATTTATCAAGATTTATATTTTTTGTGGGTTTTTTTTTTTGGCAGTAGTATTCTGTGCAGAGCATATTTGCCAATGTTTTATTTAACGTGAGTGAAACAAAATAAACCTTCACATTTCTCCTTGAAATATTTGCATCAAAGCATATCAAAGATCAGCTTCCATATGATAAAGCTTACTGAAATGCTAAACTACTTTAGGTTAAACAGCTTTCAAGAGTCCCAGAGTACCATGACAAGTTAATGCAGAAAAGCACTAATACAGGAGTTGTTAGGCTTTCCATCTTCTGTTCTGTAGTCAGACTGAGATGTGTCTGGTAGGGAGGTGGAGGTGACACTGCAGAGGGTATCTGAGTAAGTTCTGCTTTCTGACAGCTAGAGAAATTGTGTCCAGTTTGTTGGCAGAGTCCTTGGGCTACTGTCATTTAGCTACTGCTGCTTTGGGTGACTCACCTGGCACCTCATGTAGCAAGACCTGCAGCAAGGAAGGTCTTTCTCCTGCTCCACTTACTCGTGCAGCAACATTTGCAGGTATATTAGGGAGTTTTGGAATACCAGGAAAGAGTTCTGAAGCCATTTCTCCTTTCTGCTTTATAGATGCCAGAGACTAGTGCTAGGAAGGAGAATTTTTTAGGAATGAGCTTTATGAGAAGGGTGAGAGTGATTTCAGATTATGGTCAGTGAGAATATGCAGAAAAAAAAAAGCAGTAGTATGAGAAGGCTATTAAGAACATAGCAACAGGAATAAGGGAAGCGAGGAGCGAGAGTTAGGTGCAAGTTTCAGTTAATTATTAACTTGCTGTAATTAGCCTGAAATATGAGAAAAGCATTTAAACTGTAAAACTGTGCTCCTGGAAGCTCTGAATGCCATCCATTCATCAAACTGCATTTCACTCTGTTCCCAAAACAGAAAGAAATTAAAGCCATAAATAGATATGTGTTGTTACTAGCTTACTTGAGCAGCTGCTGCATTTCAGCCAGGGTTAAGGTTATTTCTGTAAGATTATATTTCACAAAGGATTATTATGATCCTTCAGTCCTGAAAGGCACGAAGTAATGCCAGCGTTTGTAAATGTAGTTTATGAATGTAGAATGCAAAAAGAGGTGGTGTTACACAATATATAATGTAGAATAGTAGAACGAGGTAGATGGTGTGAAGATGTATGGGTTATGGTAACATAAATGTTTCTTAGGATGTTTTGTCACAGTATATATGCTCACTTTGTTGCCCTCTGTAGGTGAAACATTTCCAACACCATTTGTGTATAGGCAACTGGGGTTTTTTGCTTGTTTTTCTTGGGAGTTATGTGTACAAATGTGGCGTCATTTATAATGCTAATTCAGTAGACATCAAGAAGAGCTCAAGAGTTTCAAAATCTTCTTAAAAGCGAGTCTGCCAGACACTAGAGGGTTTGTTACACTGGGCCTACTCACAGTTTCTCTCTGCTTGATAGAACATTGTTAATCTCATCTTCAGGAAAGGAAAAGTTTCATACTAATACATGTAATTTGCTGTAACTAACTTATGATATTTTGATGTTATATTGGGTGTAGTGTTTTCAGGAATTGTTTATCAAACTAATTTTTCTTCAGTCAGGAAGAAATGCCACTTTGGGACATGAAAAATATTGATGGATGTTTTCAACTTTTTCCATTCAGGTTGATCCATGGAATTGGAAGGTCAGGTGATATTTCTGCTGTCCAGCCTAAGGCCGCAGGGTCTAGCCTTTTGAACAAACTTACTAATTCACTAGTTCTGGATATTATAAAGCTGGCTGGTAGGTGTAAAACTAAAAGTCTTTATCTTTGGTGGGGACTTCTCATGTGCTGTTCATTTTAATCTCTGACTTGCTTTTGATGTGCAGGTGTCCGGACAGTGACCAATTGCTTTGTGGTTCCTATGGCAACTGGAATGAGTCTGACTCTGTGTTTTTTAACGCTGCGACACAAGAGACCAAAGGCAAAATACATTATTTGGCCACGTATAGACCAGAAATCTTGCTTTAAATCTATGATAACCGCAGGTAAGCAGGAGTTGACGGGTTATGCACCATGTTATATTAATAAATTTAAAACTACAGCTATCAGATTGATCCTGAATCCGCATGCATGTCTCTCAAATGGAATTCTTTGTCTGCCAGACTGTAAGATATGAGCAGAGGTTTATCCTCACATTGAAGCTCTCTTCTCTTGCAGAAAGATTCATGGGATCAAGGAAAGGGCAAGTAAGAGAGATGATAATTTTCCAGCTCTGTGCCCTTTACCTTAGGCAAAGCATGACATAGATTCTGGGCTTAGTTCCTAGGATACTTTTTTTTTTTTTTTTTTTTTTTTTTTTTTTTTTTTTTTTTTTTTGGCATAAATCACTTGTTCGATGCAAATGACTAGAAGTTTGGATCCAGAGAAAGTGTTCTGTCCAGGAGACATGATGTTTGAAAGGAATTAGATCAGGAGATACCACCCATGTACATGAGAAAGGTGAGAGTGTTTTCAGAATATGTTCAATTTAAAACATCACGTTAAGGAAATTAGCTCTATAGTGAAGAAAGATATGAGGAAATATGATTGATCTGTTTCTTGGTTTTCTGTTTTTTTTTTTTTTTTTTTTTGAAAACTTTACCAAGATAGCCATTACAAAATTACTTAAAGATTTAACAGCTAGGAAGAGAGAAGCAGCTGTTAGATATGTAACAATTATCAAAAGCAATCTACTAGAATTCTAGTCAAAAAACAAGGCTAACAATGCCAAATCATTCAAGTTGTCCCATATAGTTTGATCCCTGTATGTCCGTGTCAAGGTATATTGGTGAGCCACGAGCCATAAAAGCATATAGCAACTGCCTTGACACACAGCTTTGGAAATTATCCATCCCCCTCTGCCTTTTCCTTCATTCAATAAATCAGGTATTACTCAGATTTTTAAGAAAAAAATCACTTCAACTGGCATGATGGTGCTGCCAACCTATACCTGTTTGGGAAAGGGAATATATGGCTGGATTATTTTTGAGAAACTATCAATTTGAACAACTACCATGACAAATTCCACTCTGCTGTTTAAGAAATCTGTAATAAAATTCTGAGTCATTGCACATAAAACAGGAGTGGACAAGCTTTTAAAAATATATATATTTTGCAGCAATTCAGTGGGGAATGCAGGATATGTGAAAATGTTAACAAACAGAAACACAGTACAGAAGTTATGTAAATGAGTGTTCTTATGCAGAGATATCCCTTGACCTCCTGCCATGTAAAGAAAATTATTTTAATTCTAGTTCTGTTTCAGAACACTTGTATAAGTACCCAAACGCATTTGGTGTGCTGAGTATCGCTAAACCTCAAGGACTGTGCACGCAGTTGTAGGGCTTTTCCAATTTCTTAGTGTTTGATAGCTAAAGTCTGAGGGGTAAATGTTTAGAAAATTATTTGCCAAATTATTTTCATTACACAGATCTATCATTACTGACTGATATATTAGGTATGTTTTGAAAATGATAGAAGAAGTGTTATTTGGAAGGGATCTCTGGGGGTCTCTTGTCCAAGCTCACGCCTGAAGTGGGCCTGTTAGCAGCACTAGGACAGGTCAGCCTTGTCTTTTGTTTAGCTAAATCTTGGAAGTATAGCCAGAAGTTCCCTAGCTCCCTGACTAGCTTGTTCCACTACTGCACTATCCATGTAATGAGAAAGGCTTTCTTATGGTCCGTTCCGAGCCCCTCAAGTCTATGAGAACAAGAACAGGCTCTCTCGAACAAGGTAAACAAGTCCCAGCCACTCTTTCTAAGTTGTGGATGTGTTCACTGTACCTCAGTCATCACGGTGGCCCTCTCATGCTCTTAACATCCCAGCTTAGCTGCAAGCTCCAAACCTGGAGTCAGATTTCAGATATGCATTCACAGGCATTTTGAAAAAGGGAATTAGCTCCCTCACTTCCCATCTTTTTTCCAACTTTTCTCATATATGCCCTTGAGAAATAACTGTTTTTCAGCTGTTTTATATAGACTTCTGGAAATGTTAAAATCTAACCCTTTTATTTTTTTTTAATCAAAAATTTCCCATTCAAAATGAGGTCAGACGCAACGATCTTTATTTTACAAGAAGTAATTTGAAAATTGATTAAATGAATAAGGCAGGAACTTACGATGAAAGCCAATTCATCATGATTATTTCTAAGCATTAATCCCTCCATGTTTTTAGAGAACCTGATGATTACAAAGTTGATTGTTTTTTCAGATTTCTGTTGGAACCAAAAATGCTCACAGTTAGTCTGAGATCTGAGATTACTTTGTGACATACTTAGGGATCTTGTCTGCATTTTTTAGGTTTTGAGCCTGTGGTGATAGAAAATGTATTGGAAGGTGATGAGCTACGGACAGACATCGAAGCAGTGGAGGCTAAAATCAAGACTCTTGGTGCTGAAAATATTCTGTGTGTTCATTCTACAACTTCTTGCTTTGCTCCAAGAGTACCTGATAGGTAAGTAGTCTTCATAAAACATGGTAGTTCTTGCAACAAACCTGCAAAAAACAAAATATGCAGCAAGTCTGCATATTTTAGGTCCTTCTTCTTGAAACTGCTTAACTACTGTCAACAATTAGTAGAGACATTTATCCCCTAGTTTAAGGGAAATTGAAGGTTGAAATGAAGTTCCACCTCTAGAAAAGAATATTGGGAGAACTGAGAATAGGACGGAAAGTAGAAGTGAGAGTAATGCAGAAGATACCCCTTCTGCTGCATGGCATGAAATGAATGTTACTGTTGCAGTGCTTTGTTTTGTAATTTTTCAGAAGTGGTAAAAATCAATTTTCAAGCAAACGTAATCCAGAAAATGTAGTTAACATAGTTAATACTGCAATTTAATATTATTGTTGTCTTCTCTCCTTTAGCCCACTGATGAATTTTCCTTGTCCTTTTTAATGCTGGTCTGTGCATTAAAACAGTCCAAAATGCTACAGCCTACAAAAGACCTTTTTAGAGCTATGCTTTTCATGTGTCTCACTGATGCTTTTAGAGCTAATTAAGATACACTGATATAAATAAACTCTTGGAAACATCTAGGACAGATGTGCTGTGCAAGTGTAACAGACAATTTGCCCTGGTGTAACTTATCCTGGTTTGAACATTTGCTGCCTGATTGCATGATGCTACTTATAATTTCCAGCTGTTAAATCACCATTAAGAGGCTTAAAATACATTGCATTCTTTCCTAATACTATGTGTCCATGTACATCACTTCTGTAGTTGCTGCAAAGATGTCTTTCGAGCACTCTCTGAAGCAGAGATGAGCAATAGAGCCATTAACACGAAATAGAGTAGCTGAAGCATTATTGCTCTGATGCTTTTTTTAAAAAAGCTTTCAGACTGAAAATGACATGTTGAAGTAGGGGTGGGCGAAGCACTTGTTTATGTTGAGTTAGTTTTCCAAAATGAGCACCACTTTTAATTTATCGCAAAATTTAAAATGCTTACGGTTGAAGTTCCTCTGCAGTATCTTTTTAGTTATTAATTACTTTGTTATCTGGGAAACATAATTGAACATTTGCAAGTAGAGAAAGGAAACATTATTGAATCTGAAACATGTCGAGTAAAAATGTTTCCTTCTACTTTTCTCCCTTAAAATAAGTGAATAATAAGAAAAATGCAGGATTTAACATGGGTTAACCCTCTTGCCACAGAGAAAGTAAAAATAAACAAAAGCTTCTATCAGAATACTGCTAGGAGCTGAGTTGCAAATTTATTAGCAAACTTAAATCAAAGCTATCAAAAATGAATGGTCTATATGTTAGCTCAGGTAAGTGAATCTTTCCTTATCTGCCTCTTCTTTTTGACATGATTATTTTTATCCTCTGCAACTAAGAACTGAAATATTAGGTAGTGGCACTGGGTTGTGCTATACCACAGGAGGACTTGAATGCATTTCCTATTTAAGGATACCATCAACTCTTAAAAGCTGTAACATTCCTCTTCCCGTAGGAGGGTAACTCCTATCCAGCGCTGTCTGTTTTAAAAATCTCTGTATTTTTAAGACTTTAGTTAATTTTATACTTGATATATTAATCAAAGAAGTTTCTTCTATCATTGTGATCTTCTTGTAGATCTTTTAGCCTTTTAATGCTCTGATTTGTAACATACCTGATAAATATTTGTCTAAACTATAATCTTGTGTTCGTAGACTGGAGGAGCTGGCTGTAATTTGCGCTAAATATGACATTCCCCATATTGTCAACAATGCCTATGGTGTTCAGTCTTCAAAGTGCATGCATCTTATCCAGCAGGTAGGAGAAGTATTTCAAACAATAAAATTTTTAAAGTATGACTAAATCTCTGATTATAGACAATACTAGTACGTTTTGTCCTGTGTTTCACACCTTTGAGACTATCCCATCTAAGTCTGATATTTGAGAACATGGATTAGAGGGAGGTAGAAGTTTAGAAGATAAATTACACACACAACATTTTTATATACTAAAACAGGTTTTATTTTTTACTTTTATAATGGAAAGATATCATTCATAAGCTTTTTAAAAAGTGTTTCATAAATGTATTAACACAATGAAAATAAGGCACCGTATTTGAATGGGTATTTAGTCCTCATCAGAATGCGAGTTACAGTTTTTTGGTTGAGGAACAAGATTGTACGACACTATATTGGTTTTATCACTGTTATAGATGTTGTTGCTACAGAGAATAGCTGAGGATACTGAATTAACCTCAGTGGTTTGTTCAAAAAAAACAAGAGTGTAACAGGAAAGAGCTTCTGGCACACTTTCATTTGCCCCTGCTTTTCTTCTGGTGTTCTCAGCTAAATCAAGTTCCATCAAAAAGACAACAAACTCTTAGTGCTTCTTCCCTTCTGCCATTCAGTAAGCTACTTAAACAGATAATAACTCTATTTTAGTGAGATATGGGGTTTTTTTTCAGTCTTTTTGCTGTAAGTGTTAGCTGTATTTCTATTCCTTGGTATTATGTAGTGTATGTAGTAAGGATGAACTTGCACATGCTTTTCAGGTTCTGTTATGCTGCATACTTAATTGCTCAGTATACAGTAGCACAGGACTGAAATGGGAGCTGTACTGCAGGACTTATAGTCATTCCTTTGAGAATATCCGATGAACTAGATACAATGCCATTTTATTTTCTGAGAGATGAGGAAATCTGCTGTTGGGAAATTATCTGGATCTTCATACTGTAAGCAGCCTGATATGAAGAAGTGCTGTCACAGCCCACTTGTTTTAATGCAAATTCTATACATGTGCCAGGATAAATCTTTTCTGATGAAACATTAACCTGTAGCCCTTTTACTGTAAACATCTGTGAAATGTTTTGCATTATGGAGTCTTAACTATATAATTTCCGTTAAATTCCATGTGTGTTTTTTTTTAAATGAATTGCAGTCTATAGACTTGCAAGAACTAAAATTATTATCAAGAAAGCAGCAAAAGAGGAAATTATAGGGCATTTTGTAGTCAGGTAACAAACAATAATAAATTAATCACCAGTGCTAAGAAAAAGTAATGCTCCAATTTTTAATTTTCATCACAATTCAATATTTGGGTGTGCTTTAGGAATTAGATTTGTTTTCTTTATGTTGCTGTGTGATTATGATGCTATTAAATGCTTTTTCCTAATGCGTGCTCTGCGTTTTGTTTTTTGCTTTTTTTCCGTAAAGGGCGCTCGAGTGGGCAGAATAGATGCTTTTGTTCAGAGCCTAGACAAAAATTTTATGGTTCCAGTAGGTGGTGCTATCATTGCTGGCTTCAACGAGTCCTTCATTCAGGAGATCAGCAAAATGTACCCAGGTAAAGAGTTCAGACTGGTTTGTACCTGCAAAATAACTGTAAAGAACTTGATTTTTAGCTTTCTTTCATACTTAGTTTTTTGGTGAATTTGGTCTGTCTGCTGTTTTCTTTTTCAGGAAGAGCATCTGCATCTCCTTCTTTAGATGTCCTCATTACACTTCTGTCTCTAGGTACAAGTGGCTACAAGCAGCTGCTGAAAGAGAGAAAGGTAAGCAGCACTTTCTTGAAGTCGTCAGTTAACATCAGTTAACAAAATCTTCCTGTTGTGAACCTGTTTTTTTGTTGGGAATCCAATTTCTCTCTGGAAAGCTCCTGAATTTCTTCTAAGCTCACAGCTCTTAATCTGGAAAGCTAGTGTAAGCAAGTAGTACTTACCTGTTGGCCAAATGGTGCTAGTATATCATGGCTTTTATGTTCTATTTATGTGTTGTATTCCAAACCAGGAAATTAAAGTCCTGTACTATCTTGGAGAGGGCTCATTTTTATTGTTTTTCTGTGTGACCTAAGTCAATAGAGTCTGTGAGCAGTGCTGTGGTGATGGGTCTGCACGGTGCTGGTGTCCAGCACAGTGAGAGCTACTGCAGGGATCTCTGGACTACTTCATTTGGCCTATTGTGTTTGGGTGCCGTAACAGAGGAATGATATGTTGAGGTGCCGCTTTCTCTGCAGAATCACAATTTCTGCTTAAGTTATAAGTAACGTATATGGCTACAAAGAAAGAAGGATGCTGGGTTTTAAGACATTCGTCTAGCTGCAGAGCTAGGTTTCTTCCCTGCCTCTCCCAACTTTCTGCTATGTTGGCTGTAACTGCATTGCACAAATGTTCAAATTGGCTTAGGGCTGAAATCTGCGCCTCTTGAGCTGCCCTTAATTCTGGATTTTTCCTTATATTAAGAGGCCTGATTTTGTTAGCTGTATATTTCAACATAGAGTATTCTTGCCCTAAAGAGCTCCAGGTAAGGAGAAGTAGTAAGTGCCATAAATTAATATCTTTAAGTCATGCATGATCTGTCTATTATTTTGTTTATGAGATACATTCTATTTGTCTCCTGCTGACGGCTTACTGGGGCCTCTGACTATCTGGCAGGATGGTGGTGCAGTTTGCTGCGACTTGTTTCTGGATGTTCATGCAGGCAGCCAGTAATGGTGCTGGACTGGAACTGGAGCTTCCCTGAGAGGAGCTGCAATACCAAAAAACAGTATAGTTATTTTACAGAGGCAAACGAAAGAAGTGTTCCATGCAATTAGCCTGTGAAGACACAACTTGTGAAACTCTGAAAGTAGTCATCAGTTATGCTGCTTTGGAATAAATTTTCTAACTTTACCATATTCTGGGTAGCTGTGTTTGCTGCCATGCATGGTTTCTATCTTCATTAAAAGCAAATTGTCTTTTTTTTTCTTCTATCTCCAAAGAATCTCAACTGAATTTATTGTGTCTTCTGCAAAGCTGATTGTGATAGTTAGATTTATACTGGATGCAAATACGTATTGGGCAGTATAAGTACTGTCAAGTCATGAATAATAGTTCTTTAGTAAATACGATGTCTTAATGAATAGCTTGATATTTAAAATTATATAGTTTTATTGGATATAGGATTTTAGTGCAAATAAAACATTATGTTTTCACGACTTCTGGTCTTTATATTTCAAGAGCGAATATGTTCCATAAACACAGCCTTATATATGGCATAAATATGTTTCTTTTATTGGATTTGCTGTAGAAATAGAAACCTTTTTTGCTTAAATGTTTTTTGCTTCCGAACTGTTAAGATGTAATAGTGATAGTTTATTGCCTGTGCTCTGTGAAAGCAGAGGCAGAGCTATTATGCTCTCAGCAGGAGCTATTTATAGCTTGACATTGAGTACTCCTTTCTATATTGGTGCAACTACACCTCCTCACACACACCAAAAAAGAGCTATAAAAAACAACAGATATTTTTTTCTTTTCTCCTTTTACCTTATTCACATCAGTGTTATTTCAGGTTATTTGAAAGCAAGCCAGAAAGCCCAGACTGTTACTGCAAAGAGATTAATATCTTGCCACCAAGAAAATAAATAGTATGTCCACTTTTCTTTTACATGGATGAACTGGTTAAAGTGGGGAGAAAAAGGAATATGAGTGGTTTTCCAATTGGTTGATGTTCATGGAGTCTGCAACTGTCCACGAGTATGGGCTGCATGTCCTGTCCTGGAGGACTAAAAGGGTGCAGTGACACCGAGGACAGAAGAGCAAGAGACTAAAGCCCATGTGCTGGCCACACGTCAGACTAAAGGTGGCCAGATGTGGAAGTTTTGTAAGGAACCTTCTCAGAGATCTGTATTAGCCCAATATCTCCAGGCAAGCAGTGGAGAAGACTTCCACCAGCCTTGTCTGGCAGTGTTATTTTCTCACTTGTGCTAGCTTGTCATTGTGGCCTTTTTATACGTTTACACTGTGTTTAGAGCAGTGGGCTCCTGGGCCTGTTTGGGGGTCTAGGTAGGTGCTTCTGTCAAATCTGCTAATAGCTCTTCTTTCAGAGATCTCCTAATGTTATGCAAAGGTTAGGCTTTTGTAATGACTCCCCCATGTGTTTCCTCAGTATATTATATTTCAAATTCTGTATTGCCAGGTCTTAAGCCTAGATCTCTCTTCACAAGTGTGTATTTTGTTGGCCGAACTTGGCCTCATGTAACAAATCTAGTGGCAACACTACCTGATATCATGAACAATAGACTTCAACTCCTTATCATCTCAGAATTGATGGAGAGCGAGACACCAAAATTCCATATCAGATTTAATATCCGTTAACTATTTTCCAGCACGCCCACTTAGTATATTACTGTGTTATCCAAGAGGTAATGCCTTAATTTTTCTTTTCAGCAGTTAAAGACTTCCTCAATAATCTTTCCTTAACAGTCTGATGATGAAGTTATTCTGATTATCTTAATTATAGTTGCATTACTTGGGATGCAGCTGAGCTTTCAATATCTTATGTCTGTTTATACATGTGTTTCAAAGAGCGATCAGCTGGGGTCATTGCTGTGTCTTTACGGAGTATCATTCTGGAATATTTAAAACTGTATCAAGGGGAGGGAATTTATTTTTACAGTTCAGTTACCATCGATGCGAGAAAACACGGATTATTCTGATTGGAATGAACTATTTGTGCAGTTCAATGTGAGATTATATTGTTGCTCTACTTGTGATCAGATTTTAGAAGAAGAGAAGGACACCTAAAAATGTCAATATTCAAATATTCTTTCAAGATGAAAAGCATTTTTTTGTATAGTCAGTTTGCTACATTGTGATTTCTTGATTCCTGTGGGAATACAGGAGTTTCCTCGTGGTGAGGTATATAGAATCATATTCAATTTATTGTCTGTGTGTAGGCAGGTTGTAGTTTAACTGAACGTAATCATCGTCTTTAATGCTCAGTCTCATGTACAGCATAGGAAATTTGGCAATCTGTATCTAGTGCAAAGTGACTGTAAAACTACTGCTTTGCCATGTCCTCTCCAATATGGTACGTGTGTGGCTGCCATTTTGTCAATGTTGATTTTTTTGGCGTGTGAATGAAGCAGGAGGGACGTAAGGGACACATATTCCACACTGGCCCAGAGTGTCAGCGAGAACGGCAGGTTGGAACCAGCAGGATGCTTTCCACTATGCAGAAAAGGGTTTCTCGCTTTCATCAGTTGTCTGTAAACTACTATAGGGCTGATGGAATATTTAGTATTATAATTATGTGTTTTTTTTTTTCTCTGGAGTTGCTGGCTTTTCACTTTTCTACCTATAGCTGTTTTCAGTTGGGACAGGAGCTGCCTCTCTGTGCAGGGCCTGTTGCACTCGAGCAAGAAGTGAAGAGTCACCCGTATCCAGTAGGAAGGCTCTAAAACGAAGCAAAAGTTGAATGGTTTTGTAGCAGAGGTACAGCATGACCCCAGTATTTCTAATAGGGCATTATTACAAACCTTCCTGAGAATGCTTTTATATACTTCTTGTGGAGTTGGCCACTTTGTCCAAATAATTGTCATTTGGCATGCTGGGCATAGACACAATTGCTGACTTATTAATATTTTTTTGAGGTATTTTGTCATTCTAGATGCTAGAAATAATTTGGAAAAATAATTTAAAAAGTGCAAGACATTTTAATATAACTTAGCATTCATTCTGCTGGCCTGCTGAGGTTTTGTGAAGAGGAAACACAAAAGAGGAGTTTTCCTCTTCCTTCCAAGAGTGAATTAAAGCATAGCTGACATTTAGTGTATGGATTGTTCAATACAACTTCAGGATAATACCTGGCTCCATTTGAGAAAACCAGGGTGCCTACCACAGAAAATAAATTATAGAAGACCTCGTTGAATATAATTGCTTAGGCTGCTTATAAATTTTCACACAACAGGAATATTTTTATAATAGAGGTGGGTTATAGATTTGACCTCACAAAATATTACCTTTTCTTCTCCTTTTGGAAGTGCTGTTCATCTGTTGTATAACAAACTGCTGAAGCTATTTATAAAATATCTAGAGGCTTTCCAATAGAAAGATGCAAAATATTATAGCTTATTAGGAAAAAAAAAAAAAAAAAAGCAGTTTTGAATTTGTGTTCAGGTAGCTTGAGTTAATTAATGAAAACACATCCTTGGATTTTCTTTGCCAACTCTCCATTCTCCCTTGTTCTACCAAGCCCTTATGTGTATGAGGGCTGACCTAGCAACTTAGTTAATTTTAATTTAATTTTACACATTTCAGTCAGTGGTTAACAAATTTATGGTCATTTCACTGATGGAAAACTGTGAGAGATGCAACAGAGAATCCCCTAGAGGAGAGACATACACACACAGGAATTATTTGGGAATTTCTTACTGCTTGAACATAGGTTTTTCTCTGGAGTAATTTCAACAGTAAGTATATCTATAGTAGGCAAAGTTAATGTATACTTCTGCAGGGTTTTGCTTCAGTCATCAATGTAAACAGCCAGCAGAGGGAGCACAAATTAATTAACAAATTGGATTGCCGAAAAGTACTGATTTAATGGCTAAATACATTAGTGATGCTTGTTGCCGTGAAGCAAATAACAAATGAGGAATGTGTTTATATTCCGTGTTGAACCAGAAGGGAGGGACAAGTGTCTGAACAGCCCCCGAGTGCACTGCAAATAAACTCTGCTGGCTTGAAACTGCAGAAGCACATGGTTTCAGAACACTCCTGAAAATTATCAACACTTTCTCACAAATTTATAGTCCAGGTAATTAACCATAGGTGTTCCCCATAAGTTTTGGTTATTGCTCTGAGTTTCACAGAAGCTTTATGCTGCGGTTGACGATGAATCTGTTGCCCAGTTCACTTATGTCAGTAACGTGGTGCCTCTTCTCTCGGGCTGATTCCTGCTCTTGCATTGGGAAAGACAGGGCAGGAGTGCGTTCATTTGGACTGTCATGAAATGAGACCCTGCAGTAGCTAAAGAACAGCAGCTGTGACGTTCTTCAAACTTAGCCACCACAAAAACCATTTGGTTTCGTATGACCTTTGGGAAGAGGCGGAGGTGCAGCTCAAAAGCACCATTTTGATTACAAAGCATAATTTGTACTTGTAAGTGTGCAGGTCAAAGGAGGCAGCTCTAAAGAGTGAGAAATCCTCTGTCGTGTCCAGAAATGGATCAGGATGCGGAAACAGTCACACCAATGTAGATGAGAAGCACAATCCTTACAGCCAGAATGAGCATAAGAAAGAAACCACCCAAGAAAGTGGTACTTGCATTTGTGCAGTCTCTGCTGCTTAGCAGGCTCGAGCAGGAGGGGTCAGGCTGGGAGGAAGGGCCGAACAGCTGCTGCGTTCAGGAAAATGTGCTGTGTGCAGCAAAATCCATTCGAATGTACGTTCGTGCCCCTCTTCATGGGACTGTGTGGTACTCCTGATATGAAAATGTAGGAACTGGTCCTAATTGTAGTTTCGTGTGAGAGGTGGCAAGATGCACTACTTTTCTCTTTCAATTCTGGTGCAGATTAGAATAGTGCAAGGAGCAATTTACCGTGACAGGGCCATCTGCCATAGTAACAGCTCGTTCTCCAGGGCTGACGAGGCCACAGTGGGAAGGCAGCTCCACTAAGTCGACAGGATACTAACACAGAGGAAAATCGGGGAAAATTGGGAAATCTCTTCACGACTTTCCCACACTAAGTTTTCGGGTCACAGAGCAGGTGACTGACATCCCAAGCACGTGTGCTGGAACAGGCAGAGCGTTTGACCAGTTCGAGGGGCAGAGCAGCGTTGTTCAGGAAATGGAGCTGTTCCTTTATAGGGGGATTGCAGAGAACTGTCTGGCCCAGTTATTTTTTTACACATAAAAACCTATCAGTTGGGCACAAGTAGGGTGAAATGGAAACTTAGCAGTTTTGTGCTGTTTTCTCAGTTTGATAGCTAACAACAAAAATACTGCCTTTTTTTCCCATCTCCAGGAAATGTTCTCCTATCTTTCAAGCGAGCTGAAGAAGTTGGCAGATATCCACAATGAGAGACTGTTGGACACACCCCATAATCCCATTTCCCTAGGTAATCATTGCTTTGTTTTGCTGCCTTTTTTTTTTTCTTAAAAATCTAATACAGTCTGCATTTGTAATGCTACTTTACATACAGTTCTTATTATATATAGCATTGTTTACTACACTTAAATCATTCTTAAACTAAGATGAAGCCATTAAACTTTTTATAGAACAACTTTTCTGGAAGGCAATTTCTTATAGAAGCAGGCTAATACCAGTGATAGGACAAGGTAATGGGTACAAACTGAAACACAGGATGTTCCATCTCCACATGAGTAAGAACTTTTTTATTGTGAGAGTGACAGAGCCCTGGCACGGGCTGCCCAGGGAGGTTGTGGAGTCTCCTTCTCTGGAGGTCTTCCAAACCTGCCTGGATGTCACCCTGTGCCACGTGCTCCAGGTGTCCCTGCTGGAGCAGGTGAGTTGGACTGGGTGATCTCTAGAGGTCCCTTCCAACCTCAACCATTCTGTGATTCTGTAATAGAACTGTGACCCAGATCCTTTATTTTTATATAAAATTGCTCCTGTCCAAAATACTGTATTACTGTAATCAGGACAGGCAGCCTGTAGTAATACTTTAGAAATGAATAGATTTTTTAAAAAAATAAACTATAATAAATCAGTCATATTTCAATGCTGTGAAGTAGATAATGGAATTCATATTCAAAATACTTATTCTAACTATAAATTCTGCTGATCACTAAAAAGGAGTATTTCTCTCCTTTACTACACCTCTGTGTAGTATTTCTGCCTTACATACAATCCAAGAAGTCATTCAGTGATAGGTTGTGGACAAATACTAGTGTAATACTAGTATTCATATTTTCATTGTATCTGACCCTAAATACTTGGCCGGCCGTATTTTTTTGTTATGTGACTGTTGTGTTATGTATTATCTTTTTGAAAAAGAAAAACTGTAATAGTTCTGATCTGACTTTTTGTTCCTTCAGCCATGTCACTGAAGAATCTAGATGAAAATAATGATGTTGCTGTTACCCAGCTCGGATCTATGCTTTTCACAAGACAAGTTTCTGGAGCAAGGTGAGAATGCTCTCAACTTTGAAAAATGTTGGCATTTGTATTCAGGTTTCACAAATTGTATACTTTTTTTTTTGTACCTTGTGTCTCATGAGTACATATTTCAGCCTAGCAATTAAGAGTGAGAGAGTAATATACCCGTCTCTATCGCTATTTTTTAGTAATAATATGTCTACCTGCCTGAAATAGTGATGACCTCTTCTTTAGCTTTGGTAGACTAAATATCTATCCCCATATAACTTGGTGTCGTTATTTCCTAAAGCCCATTGGTTTCAGTTAGTTTCCAGCTCTTGTCTGATCCTATGATTAAGTTACAAGGGAGGATCTTTATTTTTGTTATGTTTATGCAGCATAAATATGGTTGTGCTGGCTATCAGGGGAATAAACCTTTAATTCCCTGCTTTGCTTTTGTCATATGGAAGAAAATTCTGCTTTCTGGAGCTAACTGTGCTTAAAAAAGACAAAGAAATGCTACAACCTGGACCAGTCCAAGCTGAATTTATTCTTAGTGACACTGGTACATGGAAATGCAAGCCAAATCATTTCTAATGATTTTGGTTTAAAGCTTTCAGAAGAAGAAAATGATTTAAAATTTGTTTTGGCAGAATTCCTTTATCTGGATATTACTGCTGCCATGCTAGCTTCTGCCATGGAGTTAATGTCATTTTCTCGAGTGGAGCTGAATGTCTCAGCATCAGAAGACAGGCTTCATTAGCTTGGATTATTCCACTTCCTGCACAGATGAGTGACAGTAAATCTATATGTACTGTAGTTAGATGCTCTTTTTAATTTGCCTGTCCTAACCTTGGGTTGTCCTGCAATTTCAGTCATCTTTGGCTGAAATGATTCAGAAGATTCCTTTTTTGAAAAGTTGTAACTTTCCAATTTTGTTTGATCCAAAGGCTTCAGGGTTTCCTATTTTCATGTAAACAAGTGGTTCTTTAACTGCAGAGTATACGTACCAGTTCACCTGGTATTCAGCAGGTTTAAAATGTCCTGCCTGTGCTGAATGTCAGTGCTGGTGATAACGATTCCCGGCTGCACTCGCATTCAGACTTTCACATAGCCTGTGGTCTGAGCACTTCCATACGGGGGAAGATCGGCCAGCCCTAGTGCTATTTGCCCAAATGCAGTTTCTTTTCTGAACACCACTCTGGAGGTAACAAATTCTAATCAATTGATAAGTGCTTTTATAGGCTTTAACTATAGCCACAAGCCACTATAGGTGAGATGTACGTATAACCTCCTTAGGTTACCCTTAACCTCTTCAGGTTACCTGAGGGCTGAACCAACCAGGCCAGGAACAGAGCACGTCAAATACTTAAGCCTTGATCTGCAAGACAAGTTTGCTGCAGATGCCTCTTCCCCCACATTAGGGAGGTCATAAATGCCTGTAGTGACATTCTCATAGATTTAATGGAAGAAAGGAAGGAAAATTCTATAGGAATGAAGGTAAATGTGCTCATCATAAGGTATTACATAAAAATGACCAGGGCATCTTTAACTGAATTGCAGTTTTGTTTGTGTGTTTCAGGGTGGTTCCCTGTGGGTCTGTACAAACGGTAAATAACTACACTTTTAAAGGCTTTATGTCACATACAAATAACTACCCCTGTGCTTACCTCAACGCTGCATCAGCAATTGGAATTAAAAAACAAGATGTAGACACATTCTTGAAAAGGCTTGACAAGTGTTTGAAGACTTCTGTGAAAGAAAGAAAGAAAGAAAAAAATGTGGATGAAATAAGTAATTCTAATACAAGCTCAGAACAACTTGAAGGCTAGAAGATACAGTTTTTATAACACAGGAAGATACACTTTTGTCTGAATATGTCAGGTTTGTATTGGTTTTAGCTTTCTGAATCTGCAGTGCAGAAAACAATTTATCCCTCAGCTGAGAGGAAGGGGATAAAAAAACAACTCAGGTGAAATTCAGCTTTAAGGAAAACTTTAGGTAATGTTCTCTTTCAGACAGAGGGCCAGTCACAAGCTTTTTGCACCATTTAAATGTCCTTAACATCTGCCAAAGTAAAGTTGAGAAAGATGTTGAGCCAGCCCTTTGCTTGAGGGGGAATCTGACCGATTGCGGCTGATTCTGTGATTTGGCAAATCACAAAACGCTTATTCCCACATTCTGGACTAACAGCTTTTTCTGTGACAGTGATTGCAGACCTTTCCAGTATAGGTACATATCCAGAAAGAAATATTTCCCTGCCTCTTAAACGTCAATGAGTGGTTTCTTCTCGGCATACTTGCCACTTTTGAAAGATTTATATAAAAGCTTGGGATAGCACTTACTAAATACAATGATAAAACTGCATGAGGGAGTGATGGAGTTGGAATAATAATCCCTTAAGGGCCTTACACCACTGCTGCTTTTGGACACATTTTTGTCTATAAACTGCCTTGAAATAAACAACTCTCAGTAGTCAAGAAAAAAATCTAGAATGCCTCGTATATGCAGAATAAGAGTTCTCCACTCTTGGAAATAGTTGCAGGGTTCAGCAACCCAAAGGAATTTTTTGAGGGAGTGCAGTTACAAAAGCAAGGGGCTGTGGAGCACGGAGTGAAGAGGGAGAGTCCCTCCCAACTCCATCCCACTTCTTTTTTTTTTAATGCATTTTGTCCCTTCTTTGGTAGTAGCTGCTCTTGGATAGGAGCAGGAGAGGAGCAGGAGGTTTGCTGACGCCTGTGGCATGAATACAGCAATCTCGAGAGCTAGTGAGTCCTGGCAGGACTTCTAATCTTTTTTTTTTTTTTTTTTTTTATGTACTGACTTTGACTTTTCAACTGTCTCCTGTCATTGGCACTGCTGCTTTTGTAGCTTGTGTTCGGTTACTGATGTGAATTCATTAAGTTAACAATAGGTTTGGAGTCTGTTCTTTGAACAAAGGTTCCTTATCACTGGAATGACATTACTGTAGGTTTCAAATTTTTAACTAATTATTCCTATATGCAATTACTGTATTATATGTTGTTTTGATGTCATATACTGGCCAAAATGAGCCTAATGCTCAAAGACATTTTTCTTTGTCTTCCTGCAATATATTAACTCTTAGGTGCCACAGTTAATCAGTTCTAACCTCACAAATTATTCTAGTTATTTTGTTTGGTGGGATCAGAGCCCTCTGTAACTTGTTTAGTGAAAATAGTGATGCTTTTGAAAGGAACATCTCAATCATAGATGGATTATATCTTAATTGATATAAAATATGGTATTAATATATGGAAGTTATTACAATACTAATCGTTATGAGGGCACACATAGAAGTAAAGTCCATTGTATCTAAAGCTTAATTGGAGGGTGCTACTTGTACGTTGTTTCTGTTGCACATTAAATTAATTAAAGTTTATGAAGTAGTGGCTACCAGGGCTAGAGTCACACTTAGGAATGTGTCCTAGGAGAAATGTCGTCTCATTTGACCACCGAGCCCCTGCGATTGGAAGCAGGTGTGAATTCTTGCTGCCTTTTTGCTGTGGAGAGCTTGCTTTGCTTCTGCTCTCCCCCCGTGGAGCTGCGGCACAGGCTGCAAGGCAAAGCCCCCCGCCGGCTCCTGCCTCGCTCTTTGGTACCCTGGGGACTGCCAGGCCGCCTGGGAGGGCTGCAGTTACCCCTGTAGGTGACACTTGCCACGGAATGCAACCTTTAACATTTCCTAACAATAGTTTTCGGGAGGTGCCTGATAGCAGCTCACAAAAGCGTTTGATGAATAATAATATCCTGAAACTGAACAGAGAGCGAGCAGCAGATGGCTCTTCTTCAAGGCAGTAATCCTTGCCTTGTATGTTCTTGTATTAAATTGTCTGATAGAAGTCACTTCACTCATTCCAGCTCTGGATCGGCACACTTTCTCAGGTAGTGATTTTCCTGTCTGCAAAATATTTCTAAATTCATCAGAAAGATGAAAAAGATCCACAGTGCTCTTTAAATAGAGGTGGAGAGGAAAAAAAAAAGCATTCTGAATTCAACTTTATGAAACTTTTTTTTTTTTTAATTTAGAATCATTTTAAATCAGTGATTTTGGTTGCAAAATAAAACAAAGTCTATGGTGTCTCTGTATGTCAGTGAAGTACTTCACAAATCTCAATGAGGTGGTGCAATTTAAAATACCTTTGAAGCTTAGCACATCATGATGTATAGACTCTTCAGCTAAATGTTTGTTGCCTTACTTCAGTAAGCTCTTGTACCAGTTTCCACTGTTGTTTGCTAGTTTTGTGATCTGTATTTGTTAGGTCTTAAATTTTTAGAGACAAAGGCATTGTGTAATATCGTCATAAGCAGAGAGTTTGAAATTTTATGCAGGTAATTCAGACTGCAATTTATCTTTAAAGTTAACGGAGGAGAATTGTTATATACAGCAAATACTTGGAAAAGGAACTTTGATAGATAAATCAAATATTTTTGAAGAATATAATATAATGCATTTACTTTCAGTTCACAATATGTATAATAAAACAATGAAATAATATTGAAGCTTACAGCTATCAGCTGCATTTTTCTATTTCTTTGTGTGACAGATGTTGGGAGACTTCATAGTTGGGGTAGGACTTGCTCACTAAACATAGTATTCATGCAAGAATAAACAAAATAAGCAGAGTTAAAACAAATACACTAATAGATTTGCCTTCTGTGAAGATGTTTCTAAGACTGTACGCTGAGGTGAGAAGCTCCTGGAGCTACAATGAATGTGCAGCCCTATTCACAGGCTCCTGCTGCTGGAGGCTTCCAAGTAATGGGTTGGGTGCAGCAGGTTTTGGAGTCATCTCCTGCACCCGTGTTGCTAGTGAGACATCTAGGAGGACAAGCTGAGGTTCAGCCCACCCGTTCGTGCAGCAGGAACGCGTGGCAGAAACACTGTCACCAGCTGTGCACTTGGGGAGGTGATTTCACACACACTATTTCTGCAGCTGTCAGTCTCTCTCCTCTGTGATCCGGGCTGCACCATGCAGTTACCAGCAATGAGATAGGAAAGAGGAAGCCCTGAAACAGCTCTAGGGACTATAGAGCGAGCATGTGTTTCATGTTCTGCTTCCAGAGACGTGGAGGGGGCAACCTTTGCCCATGGGGCAGGGAGCCCAGGGAGGCAGGGATGTGGCCAATTCCCCTCACACGGTGCATTTCATCCCTCCATGGTGTCTGTAACTGTGCACCGAGCTGCTGCTCCTTCCCTTCCCTCTGCTGTTGCCTCTTGCACTGTCTGCTCGAACAGGGGTGGGAGAAGAACAGGACTCGATGGCACTGGGACACAGTGCAGGCAAACTGGAGGTGAAGGAGCCGTGTCAAAAACGTGAATCTCGCTCTTACTTTACCTCTTTTGCAGGATCCAAGTGAATAAATCCGAGGACTATATGGCCAATAATATTGCCTATTCGCGCTTTGCTTGAAACAACTGCCTAAGATACAAAGCAAATAAAATCTACCAGATGCAGCAAATTCTCTTGAGCCTAAGAAAGCAAAATTGTAATGTTGCAAATGTAAATGCTGGCATTGCAGCTTAATGCACATAAACCGAGCAATCTATATTGTGTGATCATCATTTTTTGAGAAAGGCTGGAGCCCAGAGACTAGCAAATGTTCTCATCTGCAGTGTATCAGCAGTTCTCAGTCTTCAGCTGCTGTATAGATAATAATTCTAATTGAAGAATCATTACATGAATCCATATGTGAATGATAGATGGGCTATAGCTTTTGGTTCATGATGCTTTAAAAATTGAGTTGCTGCTTTCACATTTTTATAGGGAGTGATTAGATTGCCACCGCCTTTTCTTTCTTTTTTTTTTTTTTCTTTTTTTTGTTTTTTTCTTAATGCAACATTTTAATCAACTTGGCTTGACAGGATTTGGAATCTAAAGGAAAAACAATTTGTGTAGCTGACAGGATTTTTTTTTTTAAATAGCTATTTGAAGACTTGAATTGGTTACAGAGTGGCTCTCCTCAGAGAAAACCTTTGTTCAGAAGTTTTTAATTTTGAAGCCAGTGCTTGAAAAATTGTGCTTATGTGTCCTGTAATAGTTGTTTTTCATGTCCTACACTTTTTTTTCCCCCCTCAAAGATAACTACACATACTGTAGTGCAGTTTAATAACTGTTTTAAAATTGCATTTAAAAAGGCATTTGCTCTGTCCTAGTCCCTCGTGGAGCATCTGCTGTATCAAAGCACTGCTCATATGTTTATCTTGATGGATAAATTTCAGCATTCTGGACAGGGTCAGTGTAACCAGACCAGGCTTTCAGCATTCCTCTGGGGAGCCTAAAATTAAGTCCAAAATCTCATTAAGATTGGTTTGATAATTGTATCTCCTTTGCTGCTGAACAGGAGTCTTTTCATCGTACTGCAATTCAACTGAACTTTTTTAGCAGAGCATCAAAGCTAATCCAGTTCAGAAGACATTAAAACCTAATTTGCCTTCAGATCCTGGATTCAAATCCAGCTTGACTCAGTTCTAGCAAAATCATAACTGCTTTTTTAAAAAACGTCCTGTGAATGGCACAAACAGAAGGGTTGAAGCTGAGTGCTGCTTTCCCTAGTGCTCTTTCTGGAAGAGTTGAGACCATTAAGCTGCCCTCTTCCATTCACTACCTCTCTTCTGATTAAAGAAAAAATTGGATATCTTAAATAAAATGATTGCAGCAGAGGTGTGTGTATTATTTATCTTTCTCTAGTCATCTTGCATAGAAATCCAAGACAGATGTGTGTAGTGCTTTCCCTGACCTTTTTCCTCCAAAAGGAATGTTTCCCATGTGCATTTTTTGTGATCTAGGGATACTACTAAAACACCTGGCCAAAATAGATGAGAAAAAGAAACAGGGCATCCAATATTTGAGGTTTCCTCACTAGGTTACAGCATTTGGCTTTTACTGTGTCTAAAACTCCTCCCGCACTGTAAGCTGTTCAATATTTGCAGCCATCTTCATCCCTTGCTGCGATGGCTCCGCTGTGGGCCTGGATCCAGGGAAGCGGCACCTCTGGAGGAGCCGGGCGGCACCGTCTGCTTACGGAGGACAAGCTCTGTGTTGGAGCAGAGGGAAGCGGCCCTGTTTGGCCATCACAGGGGACTGCCAAGCTACCCTTGGCTGCCATTAAAACTAGTTTGCAAATGCGAATTGTGCTGTGCAGTTGGTTCATCCTGCACCTCGTCTCCCTGGAGCGCCAGGAGCTGCTGATGGAAACAGCTCTTGCTTTGGCTTCCGCTGTGTCAAATGGGGCGTGCAGCTGCTGAGGAAGAAGGATCTGTCCAATAAAGCTAAACAGAAGCATTTTTTAAAAGTTGCTATGTATTTTATGAACTCTTGATTAAACACAGAGCATCCTGCTACCCTCGATGTTTTGCTTTGTTACTCTAATGAAGCCGCAGTGCAGATTCTGGCCAGGGCATCCCTCTCTGTAGTGGTAAAGGAATAGGCAATGGCTCAGGAGGTGAGGAGCTAGGGCTACGCTTTGAAAGTAAGGTGAAGAAAGTGTGTAAAAAGCTGATAGGCATTTTAATAACCCCAAAAGTGGGTTTTTAAAAACTAGGCCATGCTATAAAAATGCACTTCTTATTTCCCCAAAACAGTAACCCATCCCTTACTCTTGTTACTGGTACTTGCGTATCCCCCTTTTCATATTCTCTAATAAGAGAATCACAGTAATGCACCGGGTATTTAGGGAAGGTTGAGCAGACCTCGCTGTATCAGTGTGTAGGAAGAAAAGATGGGGGCAGGCTTCCCCCTGTGTGTGGCGCAAAATGGCATGGGGTGAAATGGCGCAGCACAAAATGGCGTGGCACAAAATGGCGCAGCGCAAAATGGCGCCAGGCGAAATGGTGTGGCATGCGCAGGGCAGCAGGTGCGTGCGCACGCACCACCAGCTCTCTTCTCATGGGCTTTCTGATCAGCACACGAATCTGAAGATAAAAATGCTTTTTAATAATGATATAACTGATGCTATTCAAAGCCAAGCTCATGTTCCGTGCAGATGGCGCAAACTGTCACGCTCTGGGCCTGTGTTTGTTTTTATTTAGGAGGAATTTCAGCTGCATATTAATCTATGAGCCGAATGGAGGCAGCAGCTTGGGCTTGGGAAGAAGACAGCACGATGTCAGTCTTCTAGATGGCCCAATCTGGCCCCTCATCCCTTCTCTTGTGTCTTCAGAGCAGCACTTGTGATTTCAGTCTCATTTGCTCAAAGGCCTTTTGAAGCAACATGTTTCTCCATGACTCTCTGTCTTCAGAAAGAAGCTGTGGTGGCTACCAAAGATGTTAGCAGGCCACAAGGACCCTTCAGAGGGCCTGTAAGACACTCCGCGATTATGCAGTCACTTCTGGATCAATATATTCTGTACAGGGAGATAGGAATGGGTAGCAAGTGACATGTCGCTGCGGTGGCCAAGGGAGACAGGCTGGGGAGGCTATTCTACAGGAACAGGCCGTGCGGCGGCCCTTACGAGCACTGTGGTATGCTGGGCACCAAGAGGGAGTCCTGCCTCTTCTAGGCACGATGGCTCTGCTCTGCTCCCAGGAAAAAGTAACACAGATTTCTTATTGTCATGGAGCAAGTAGTTGTGACCCACCACGCTCCTGCGCAGCTGCCTTTAAAAAGTGCGGCTTTCATTTAGTCACTGTCACTGCATTTGTAGGTCTCTTCACTCCCTTCATTCTTGCAGTCCCTTGAGTCCCTTGAGTCCCTTGATTCTTTCAGGAGCCCCTTGTCCCGCACTCCCAGGCTCGGATTATCTCCTCCCTTGCACTTGCCATGGGCTCTTGCCCGGGTACGCGGTAGCAAATCTCAGCTCTTCTGATGTGGTAGCGTTTAACACAGACACTGCATTTACTTGGCATGAGAGCGGGAGGCCATGGCAGGAGCAAGACAGTGGGGGACCGAGCCAGT